TGCACTGTGCAGCAAAAATCAGGTTTTATTTCTTTTAATATAAATTGCTTTTGGAAAAAAATTACAAAAACCTTCAGCTAATATGTCTTACTCCAAATTCTCATATTTACACAATAGCTTCACATTTTAAGCCAAATTTGTGCACTCTTTCAGCTCTTTGTTAATCTAAGCAAACATTTATCACAAATCTACAATAAATGAAAAATGTAAATTTTTCATTATTGTAATTGTAAACAGATCAAGCTCACAGAAGCCCAAAACAGTTGGAGATATTTCACATCTGTGAAATGAAAATCAAAAGTGGTGGCGTAATTTTGCGTAAAACACAAGATCTGACAATGAATTTTAGAGACCAAAACAATTTTGAAACCACACATAATAAAATGGCAACTATTCTCTTTCCAAATACACAATAGTTTCTTCAAAGTGCTTAAATTCAAATCTCCATAGCAGTCAGAGAAGTAATTTTGTCAACATAGATAATATGCACTAAAGTATCATTCTATTAAAGACATCCTGCCTAGACCTAGACATGACAAGAACACATAGTTTGTGTTGTCATGGTTGTACCACTGATCTCCAGCCAAAGATCCTGATGCTATGGTAGCAGGCAGAAACAAAAACCAGAGCTCAGTTGGCTGAAATTTAAAATAAAGGTTTCCACAGCAGAAATAATGAAATATTAGAATACTAAGTGTTAAAATACCTTGTAGAGCAAAATATTCTTTCAGCATACTTTATATGTTTGAAGAACAAAACCTAGCAACAAACATGAGGTCCAAATCTGAAAAGTTTGTATTAATATTTTGCAATCATCATTTGTACAGTATTAAGATCACAGACTTTTAAGATCATAGATTTTTGGAAGAAGGTAAAAACAATGGGGAAGGTTTATTAGAATTGAATTTTAAGAACACACAAGAACACAAGAACTAGGAGCAGGAGTAGGCCGTCTGGCCCTTCGAGCCTGCTCCGCCATTCAATAAGATCATGGCTGATCCTTTCGTGGACTCAGATCCACTTACCCGCGTTCTCACCGTATCCCTTAATTCCTTTATTGTTCAAAAAAAACTACCTTTTTTTTTAAAAGCGTTTACTGAAGTAACGTCAACTACTTCACTGGGCAAGGAATTCCGCAGATTAACAACCCTCTGGGTGAAGAAATTCCTTCTCAGTTCAGTCCTAAATCTGCTCCCTCTAATCTTGAGGCTATGCCCTCTTGTCCTAGCTTCACCTGCCAGTGGAAACATCCTCTCTACTTCTATCCTATCTATTCCCTTCATAATTTTATATGTTTCTATAAGATCCCCCCTCAATCTTCTCAATTCCAATGAATATAATCCCAATCTACTCAGTCTCTCCTCATAAGCCAACCTCCTCAACTCCAGAATCAACCTAGTGAACCTCCTTTGCACCCGCTCCAGTGCCAGTACATCCTTTCTCAAGTAAGGAGACCAAAACTGCACACAGTACTCTAGGTGTGGCCTCACCAGCACCTTGTACAGCTGCAACATAACCTCTCTGCTTTTTATTTCAATCCCTTTTGCAATGAAGGACAAAATTCCATTTGCCTTCCTAATTACTTGTTGTACCTGCAGACCGACCTTCTGTGATTCATGCACAAGGACACCCAGGTCCCTCTGCATAGCAGCATGCTGCAACTTTTTACCATTCAAGTAATAATCCTTTTTACTATTACTCCTACCAAAATGTATGAATTCACATTTATTTACATTGTATTCCATCTGCCAGACCTTTGCCCACTCACTCAATGTATCTATGTTCCTCTGCAAAGTTTCATAGTCCTCTGCACACTTTGCTTTGCCACTTATCTTAGTGTCATCTGCAAACTTTGACACCCTACACGTGGTCCCCAGCTCCAAGTCATCTATATAAATTGTAAATAACTTGGAGGGATTCCATGCAAACATTTGGTGAAATGCATTTGTACATTGTACTATTGCAGCTTACCAAAGTCATGCAACTTGCTTTCACTTAAAAGTAGTTGCCATTATAACACACTAACTGAAATATAAGGTCAGAGACGTGAAGCTAACCTTGTGTGGATTTTTAGAGTCAGATTTTACTGATCGAGTCAGAATGGCTCTGGACTTTCCTCCCTACTGTTGAGGAAATAAAAGGTGACATCAGACAGAATTTCTTCCATCTCAGTAACTGAACTCTGAGATGGGTACACAATAATAAATAAGAGTAGCAACTCTGTTATCAGTGTGAAGACATAGTTCTACAAGCTACATTGCAATCTACATCTCAGTGAGAAGTAGAAAAGCCTGACTGGAGAAATTTTGGAGGTCTTGAAGACAAATATTGAACCCTTTAAGAAAGGTATGTGTTCAAAATTAGAGCTAATAAGGCTACCAACGTGTTCAGAAGCTCAGAGGCTGTCAACCATCAGCTAGGGAGTATTAAAAGGGAGCCGTTGAGAGACATTCCAGGCCAAAAAAGAACAATGTATTGGAAAATAGGAAGAAATATTTACAGTAGAAAGATCAATGCCAGAGGGTAAGATGTAAATATTGAGGGAGAACACGACACAAAAGGAAGCATGTTCAGCTTGAGGGAAGCAATGCTCCAACTGCAAGAAGGAGAATGAATTTTGCTATGCCTAGTCCCCAACAAAGGGTTCCCAGTTTGATTCCAGATGAGATACCTATAAGGGTTATGCTCCCAGGTGAAAAGGGATGAAGTAGCTTCCCATCTTAATTCAACCTCTCTCTCAGTTTGTCGCAACAAGCTAAATTTAAAAAGGAACCATTTCTTCACAGATACCTTCTCAGAATCTGAATGCATTTATGTCTTAAGCAAATTAAACAGGCTTTCTTGTGCTCAAGAAAGGTTAAATTTATTAACTGCTAAAAAGAAGAAAAGATAATTATAAACACGGCATACGTACATGCAGATTAGAAATGTGAATTGAGTAAGATGCAACTGTTAAAAGGTATCAAAGGCAGTCTCTATGTTCCGTGAAGATTCGATGATGGAATGATGTGCCCTTTAAGCTTGTAATGTTGACATTGGTTGCGAAGCAATTGTTTTCAAGATTCTTGGCTGTGCAGTTAGTTGACAGGCTTTTGTCCTGTTTCCTTCCTGACATCGCTGGTTTGCATGGTTTCCAGAATTCCAAAGTGAGAGACCATTTGTCTTTTACTGTCAGTAGAGATGTGCCTTCTGGCTGTACTCAAGCTGTGACCTTCACAGCGCACTAGTCAACAATAGCATATTGCTGAGTAACAGCATACAAACTAAGGGTTGCAGTTGGTTTAAAACCTTTTTTTGTATATTCCTGAAAGCATGTAAGAGAAACATGTCTGAAATTTGGGACATAGTCTATAGGAGTTGGTTTTCTACTTTGTGGGGTCGTCAGCCACTCATCATCTCTTCCTTTTACGCCTCTCTGTTTAAAGTTTCCTTGAAACTCTACAGGTGTGATACTTTACGTGTTTGCATGGGGTTTTGACAAATGGCCACTGAATTTACATCTACAGTCACGTTTCGAGCGTATGTCTTCTTTTATAGAATACATTTTAATTAGAAATTCCATATGTCTGCAAATAATCCAGTCTTATGATTTGTTGCTATGAGATTTCGCATGCATGTGTTCAGCTCGAAAGAAGCCTATGAAGATAGTTGCTGGAGAGCTGTCAGACAATGATGCCACTGAATCACTCCATATCATAAAACAGGTTGGCATGTCATATCTAAAGGTGAAACATAGTTTGTGACTTTAAGAATGAAGACTGCAAGACAGCATCAAGTGAATAAGAAGCATTAGGTAGACACCCATGCTTCATGAAACAGCATAACCTTCACATACCTGTGTGAAGTGGTTGAAAAATGAAGTCTTCAAAGGTAAAAGTGAGGCTATATAATGGAATGATACTCATCCCATGAGGACAAATGAAGCTGAGAGCACTATGCAATAGGAAGAATGAAGATCTGGAGTTCTAGATAGCAGACGGTCACCAAACTCCATTCATCTCAGCTGAAGGAAGTCGAATGCTGGGTTTGGTAATCCTACATGAAGAGATTTGCAGTGTGTCACAGGCCTCTAAATTGCTGAACGTTGAACTGATCCTAGGAGACTACAAAGATGTATTTACAGGTCTTGGATGTTTTCTAGGTGAATATGAGTGTCGACTAACCATTCAGTATATGCCATGGAGAATTCCAATAGGCCTTAAGCCCAGCCTGAAAGACAAGATAGAGGAACTGGCAGCTCCACCAAAGCAGGAGATCTAAAAATATGGAAGGAAAGACAAGCGGGCAAATAAATTGTTCTTTAAAGAACTGGCAGTTAATGGGAAGCAAACAAAAACATAAGAGGCAGTCATCACAGAACAACAAACAAGAAAATGCAATAAAGAATGGAAGAATAAAAATTTGCAATTGAAAATACCTGATGTCAAGTACATAGTTTATATACTGACAGCAAAAAGATTTCACATGATCCTGACAAAGTAAGAGCAGTAGCAAAAATGCAATGATGAGCAGATGTGAAAGTTGTGTAGTGATCTGATGGGTTTGTGAACAACTTGACAACCTGGGCCATCAGAGTGTGAGCCTCTGTGCAAACTCTTTGCTAATGATGTGCATCGGGATTAAGGCTCAGAACAAGAATCATTCGAATCAAACAATAAGCTTTAGAAGTCAACCCAGCAAAGACATTGGGCAGAATCTTATAAGGTTCTGAATGACATGGTCTATGGTGTGGTTTGTAGTAGAATCAGACGAAAAGTCTGGTCAGGCTGATCTCAACATCAGGAGCATCCTACTCCATCTTTTATGCTTCTCCTAAGCGGCTTGGTGAGTTTCTCATGAGGTAACAGCGAGTTATCAATTAAGGGGGATGGTTGCTTGTTAATCACTGCAACTTGAATCATCAATATTCAGTCTCCCATTTACCAAGCTCACGAAGTAAGCTTGACATTTAGAAAACTCGATATGGAAACTAGAGTGAACACCTGGCAGATTCAGCTCACCACTTGCTCTGAACGACCTCCGTGTTGGAGGAGATACCAGTTTAACTCATAGCGTGCCATTTAAAATCTGAAAGCTTTCAAAATCCGGGATGAAATGCACTTGCAGAGTCTGAAATGGAATAAATACATGATTTAGTTCATGAATGCTTGTTTCCTTTTTGACCATATATCGGATAACTTGGCTAATTTCTAACTGCAGGGAATAGGTGATGTTTGGAGAAATGCATTTTTATGTTGTATAATTGTGGCTTGCTATAGTCATGCGACTGTGCTGCAAGATCCTTTAATTTTAGAAGTAGTAGCTATCAAAACACATTACAGAAACCCAAATGCATCAAACCCACTCCAGTGCCAGATTCACATTGGAGCAATTGCAGTGTATTAACATCCCTCAATTCAGGTACGTCTGCAAAAGTATGGAAGTCAGGCTTCATTCTGTCATGGAACCTCTCACAGATAAATCATTTCAAATTTGCAATAAGTCCCAATGTGTGTCCCCTTGAAACCAAAGTGAATATTTTGACAGAGTAAGCCTCAGGAACCTACCACAGGAAAACAAGGTAAGTAGCTTCTGTAGTGCTTATTAAAAAAAAAACTTTTAAAGGGATTATTCCAATCCTATTTTTGGACAAGTGCAAGGTACCTTGGACAGCATTTTTTGGATCCCTTCTGCCAAGTATGAAACATGGAATTCTTTAATTATGTGGCCACTGGCAAAGTCCCAGTGGAGGCCATAATTTTCTCTTTTGCATTAACTAATTTACACTCACTCACGTGAGGCACTGTAATCTGATTAAACCAAGCTCCAGGAAATTTACAATTGGTGGAACATCCTTATAAGTAGCTTCCAAAACTGTCAATGCCTGACATAATAAAGATGAATGATAACAATTACTCTGGTCTCCATATACTTGAATGCTTTTATATGTTTGTATAACTTCATCCTTAGTCTAATTCTTTGAAAGTCAACTTGTTAAGAGCTGACTGGTGAGCTTCTTAGCCTATCATAGGCCTTGACAATACAGCTTCTTCGTCCATAAAATCTTTGGTCAAAACCTCACCTTTAGGGCTGAAGCTGAGAAGGTAAATGGTATCCTTTTGCTTTTCATGGGGTGGGAGTCAAAGGGAGAAGGCTTTAGAGGGGATGGACACAAAAGGGCAGAGGTTAGGCTTTCAAAGGCTACCCACTTGCCCCATCTGGCCCTCTGTCTGGGGAAAATAGAACCCCTTCCTAAAGTGGCATGCAATGGTTTCCCTAATTGAGAAATCAGCCCTTTTTCTTGCCAGGTGTAGATGCAGGTAATCAGGCACATGGCAGATTGAAGCCCTTTAAGTGACTGTAATTGAGCACTTAAGGGACTTAGTTGTGGCAAGTTGAGAAAGTCCCTAGTGGATCTTGATTGGTGACCTAGTGAGGAGTCGGGGGTGGGAGCATGTCTCCAGAGCCAACTCACATAATCATTTCCCATTCATACAAACTTTCTCACCACCTCAGACTGGAAAATTCTACCCTTCGTCTCCCCACACTGGTCGATGTTTTCAAAACAATAAAGCCTTTTGGAGAATTTCATTTGCGAAGCTAGAACTAAACCTCTTTATCTTCCTGAAACAGACATTTTGGTAGTGATACTGTTTCTCTGCCAAAAAAAAATACAGCTATTTTGTTTTATTCAAATCTGATAATGAACAACTTTCTTGTTGTTTCTGACCTATTGCAGAATACTACTGTGCCCAGAAAAGCACACAATATAACTTTAAGTTACTTCTAATCAGTAACAGCTGATATATTAGATGTAATGTGTTCATCAAAGTAACATGATCATTCTTTTCTACACAGTTATAAAGTTTTCATATTAAACCCAATAGTTTCTTTTAGACAACGGCTCTTCCACCTCCAATCTTTCCTTTAAAACCAGATTGTTTGATTTTTAAGCAATTTGTATCTGGTAGAACATTTCACTTCAAGTAATTTTACATAATTAGTCAGTTATCAAACGATTGATATATTTGCCAGCTGACACTTTTCTGATGCTTCTACATTTAACATGGGTAAAACAAGCCATTCACTTATACCAGTTGCTATATGTATAACCTCCTGTATGTCTTTGAGTAATCTAGTATGTATTCTATGAGAGAATTGGATCAGGCTCTGAGCGACATGGGGTATGCAAGGTGAGTGGTAAAATCCAGTGAGACGTTTAGTGAACTATGAAGTTGAGATTATCTCATTGCATCTTATGTCTTTTTCCCAAGCGATGTGGAGAGATTCTGGTGAGACAGTGGTGAGTTGCCAATTGATGCTTAATTGCTGGTTAAACACCTTGTTAGCAGTCCAACTCATGACTGGTTGCGATCTTACCAAACTCGACATACAGACTACCCATTGTGAAAATTTGACATCAAAACCAGAGCTTGGTAGACTTAGCTTGCTGCTTGCTCCGAAAGACCTCCATGTTGGATGCTGGGCACCAACATTTCAGACACACTGCATAGGCACTGGCACACCAACCCTTACATCCATAAAGGATAAGGTGCCAAATGACGGGCAGCATAACACCCGCCTTGACTCTTTCTGCCCTATTGTGGACTGTTGTGCTGTGGATTCAGAAGCAAGTATGATGGAAGATGAAAGTGGATGGCACAGTTATCATTCTTGGTGCAAGCAGGGGAAGTTTCCCGAAAGAGTAAGTTGGCAACAAAGAGGGCATGCAGGGTTAGTGTTGGCGCAGTTTGGATTACGTGAGGGTGAATGGCGAACATGTTGCATGCATTAATTAAAATGGTTGAACATGGGCTTTGAGTGGAGGTGGGTGCAGTAGGAGAGATAGAGTGAGTGTGAGGCATCAGAGAGAAATGGTGGCACTCATGCTGTTGGAATGGACAGGGACATTGACCTTCTTACAGAGCTGAGTATTTCTCTAGACAGCCAACACCATTTCAACATAGGTGGCAATCTTGGACCAGGTTGGCATGGTCTGATCTCATGGCCTCCACTAATGGTCCTGGGGGAGGAAGAAGTCCCCCTAAAGGTCAATCATTTAAGAAAGAAATAAGGAGGAATTTCTTCTCTCAGGGAGAAATGTTCTGCAGAATTCTTTACCATAAAGGCTGTTGAGGTTAAATCATTAAGTAAATAAATTAAATAATAATTAAATAAATAAATCATTAAGCAAAGCTGAGACAGGCAGATTGATAAACAGAAGGGAATCAAGGTTTATAGGGAAAAAGTAGGAAATTGGAGTTGAGGATTATCAGATCAACCATGATCTCATATTGAATGGCAGAGCAGACTCAATTGGCTAAATAGCCTACTACTGTTTTTGTGTCTAATGGTCTTTAGTCCCACCTGTGCATCAGCCTAACCAGCAGAAGCTCCAATACTATGCCTGCAAAGTGGGTTGCTGACTCCCCCCTGTCCAAGGCAAATGTCAGCCCTGGGAAGATTGTGCTTGTCCAGGTGCACAACAGTCTTAAATACAGCCTTGGCACCAGGGTTGTCGGTCATTTCTGGGATCGCCAGTGAACAGCAAGTTTCTCTGGGAACAGCGCATAGTAAGATTGGTCAGAAAACAGACTTAATACGTGCCATGGGGACCGAAATACCAATTAATATGGCAAGTTTGGTAAGGTATGACAAGAGAACTTGTTCATCCTTGCAGTAAGAATCACTCCACCACTTGGCCAAAAAAAACTGTAAGATTCAGCCCTATTATTCTGTTCTATGTTTGGCGTACAGGTGTGTATATGGTATTCACTTGCTTAATAAACTGTAGTAGCCATACAATTGGTAATTGTCCCCAATACAATACTAGTTCAAAGATGTTGAGCCAACATATAATGTTGTCAGTGTTATCATCTGTATGCTGTGTACTGTACACATTATAATTGCAATAGGGGATTGGCAATATTTTTGAAAGTTATTGCTGCAGGAACACACGTATACTGTAGAGGTCTACATATGTACTGAAGAATGGAAACATAGAAGGTAGGAGTAGGATTAGGCCCTTCAAACCTGCTCTGCCATTCAATATCATGGTTAATGATCCAGTTCGGTATCCAATTCCACCTTTCTCCACATACCCTTTGGTTCCTTTAGCCCTCACAACTATATGTATCCTACTTCTAAAACAAGTCAATTTTTTGGCCTCAACTGCTTTCTACGGCAGAGAATTCCATAGGTTCCCCACTCCCTGGATAAAGAAATTTCTCCTCATCTCAGTCCTAAATTGGCCTACCCCGTATCCTTAAACTGTAACTGTGAATTAACTTAGTTAACTTATTAATTAAACATGATATCTGCCACATAAACAGGTAATGTATATTTATTTTCCACAAATATGTTTAGTACTCCTGCAACCTTCTTGCCCATTTTTATTTATAAATACTCTTACTCAGTTTCTTCCTGCAAAAAATGGCAAACTTTTTAAATCTTTCATATCTATGTTTTTTGTGAAATATTTTTTATTTGAAACTGTACACAGACCATACCTTGAGAGCCAATATTTTTAACAAGCTAATCAACAATCAATTACAAAGTGAAGCCAAATACTTCAGTACTAGACATGGCTTTGAGAATCAAGTATGGCTCTCACCCACAGTTCACCAGTATCTCTGGGGATTGCCTAGAAGTCTCACTTGTGCTTATGGAAACTGTTCATGACAAAACCACAGTTATGTGCAGAAAATGGTAAAAATTAATAACATAGAACCAATCTACTGGAACAGACAAAGTTGTTGCTCTGAATCAGACTTGCTATGTGAACAACTCTACTGCTTAGATGGCAATAAACTGGGACTTGTTCAAAATGTATGGATGAAATTTAACAACGATTCAACCATCTTAAATATGTCTTTTCTGAATATTGAGTTACAGGGTTATTATCCTTAATTGCAAAGTGCAGGGTGAAATCTTCCCAATGCCTGAATGATGTGGGCAATGGCCAGTCAATTGTAAAAATATAGCAATGTCAGATAAAGTGGTTTCTCATCATCGAGAACAAATGCCTGATTTTCCACCCAAGGTTTTAACAGAGAGGCAAGAGTTTCTTTCATGAACAACGAGGGGCTTATTTGCATGTATTAACATCGCATTATTATCTAATCTTGCC